TACAAGCTCCTTTCAGGTAGTTGTAGAGGGTGGTAAGGCCTCCCCTGAGCCTCCTTATCTCCAGGCTAAACAACCCCACTTCCCTCAGCCGCTCTTTGTAGGACTTGTTCTCTAGGCCCTTCACCAGCTTTGTTGCCCTTCTTTGGATGTGCTCCAGCACCTCAATGTTTTTCTTGTTAGTGAGGGGCCCAAAACTGAACACAGCATTCAAGGTGTGGTGTTGAGGTTATTCTTGAAGTATTTTTACTTGTTTCTTCAAACCTCAGCTCCATCCTCCAAATCCAAATATTTTCTGCTTGAATTATTTTGAGATCAATTTTTGCAGACTGTAAGAATATGTCTAGTTTGCACAAACACGAGCCAAAAGATTTTTGCAAGTATATAGTTTTAATACAACCACAAGATTATCTGTTGAACTATGATATTCTTACAATATTTAAGAAATTTTGAAGTAATTTCAGTTGGCAGAACTGCTGCATTATTGAGCTTCATATTTCTTTTGCTCTTCTCCCTTCCCAGCTAGTTATACACATGGTTTTTACTGCTCCAATTTTTCCCCTGCAAAGCAGAGTCTACGGGAGGAATGTGTAGACCTTTCAGTTTGGCTTTATTCCATGTTAAGAAGATCTTTATGACAAAGCTATTCCACAGGTGGTAAATATGCCCACTGGAATTCTGCCACAGGAACAGTGTTGCAGAATTGTATTAGAGTGATGAGTCAGGCCTCGCGTCTCTTCTGAAGAGACTAACAGCATGTCAGTTATTACGTTACTACTACCTACTTGCTTATTTGTCGTATTGTTCCAGAAAGAATAAAAGCTGTGTTAGTCTAGCCGGTAAGGATGCCCTGCTTGCTCAAAGGCCCTATAGTTCAAATTGTAGTAAAGCAGGACTCTGAAAAGAAAGAGGGAATAAAAAAAAAATTAAGTTGTTGCTGAGTCTTGATGGACTGAAGGACTCCAGCTTCACCAAAGCTTCATTAACTAAAACTAATGAGACAATAACACACCTGCTGCCATTGTGGTGGTGAGAAGATGTTGCCATGTGCTTGTCAGGACTATGAGTACCAGAGCTGTTTACACAGAATATCTAAAAATCTTATGGGTATTAACCATTCTTGCTCACTTTTGAAATGGGTCACTATTTAGCAAGTGGCCTAGAAGTGGAAATCTTTGTTCTTAACATCAGTTCTGTGAGTCATTCTATTTCCCCCTATATTGGTTAATATAATTTAATTTCCCTCTCTTCACCTATCATAAGAGAATACGGGGGAAAGGGTTGCTTTTCTCTGTACTTGCAAATTATTTGGTATGATTTGTTTGAGATCTCCTTCTTTCATGGTGCTTTCTTAAAATTAGAACCAAATTAAACGTGTTCCTAGCCATTGCAGAATACATTGATTAGAGCTGAATTATGCTCAGTTGTGATCTATATTGAAATTTGCATGACACATCTCTCCTGGAGTGAAACTAAAAGGGAATTTGAATCGTCCCCTATTCCTTTCTAATAAATACAGTCCATTAACCATTAAATCCAATAAGTTGTGGTCAATATTTAGAACAGATGAATGTGTAGATTTAATGAATGATGCAGCTATTAGAATAAGTCTCAGGTACTTACCTAATCTGTGCTAACTGAATAGTCTATGTCTATTAAAGGATAATTAATGACAAGCACCTCTTTTTTTCCTTTTCTTATTTGTATTGCAGCAGTCTCCACAGTGCCCAGTTTCAATCAAGACAGCGTCCTTGATTATGAATGCAAATACTGTAAGATCTTGATTGGGAAAACATGTGTGTTTAGTATGACCGCTGTGAGCATTTGCAGTGATTTACGTACATCTGCTTAAATGCAAAAAGGTAGCATGAGTATGTGTGTTTTCAGGGGTAAGGTGGCAGAAGCCTACTTTTGCAAACCCCAATGGGAAGTTCAAGCCTTCTGGTCTCACACAGGGGACTGTTTTCAGCCTCGTTAAATGTAATTGGGCATTTGAACATCAGACTGAAAGGTGGCTGGTATGAAGTGTTATGGGTTGCTGCCTGTAAATGGGAAAGGGTCAGCAGAGGACCCTCACCCCACAGGAAGTTATGCATATGCTTAACTTGTCACGCTGGCAAAGGTCCACTGTAAACAAAGGGCAAAATGTAACAATGCCACCCCTACTGGGTTCTTTGAGCCCAGGATGTTGTTGCAGGCGACCACAGAACTCACTGTACATGTGAAAAAGCAGAATCATCTTTTTCCTGGGTTTCTGCTACTTGCCACCTTTATTTTTTCTTGTCTTATTTTAATGTGTTCTTTCTCCATTAGTTTTCAGAAACAATTTATTCTTCATTTGAAAAGGCTGTATGAGAGAAATTCTGTGTGTATGTGTAGAAGAGAGAGAGAAAGAAAGAGACAGAAGTTGCCTTCTGTCTGGGTCCAACAGGAAATAGCTTCTCAAGTAGGTATTGCCGTAAGAGAATAGCACATCTAGGCTGTCTCTGTGATGGTATAAAAAAACATCTACCCCACCTGAGATCGCTACACAGACAACCTCTAATCCCAGATGGTTAACATAAAAGCTCCATAACCTTGTGATACAATTAAATGAAAGGTAAGTCATAAATGGGTTCTGACTAGTAGGAACTTTAAGAATTACTGCTGTGAGAGAGAGAGTAATTGCAGAACTTCTGCTCTGCATGGATACAGACAGCTTCTCCCACAATGGTTCAGTTCTTCCCAACCCTCTGTGCAATGTTTGGCTCTGCAATGTTGGTTCCCTGATGATAGAAATGCAACTCTGAGATAACTGGTATTGTCATGTTTTTATAGATGTTTTTTTTCTCAAATGCTTACATGGATATATATTGGATTTTTGTTTGTCAAGCGTAAGCACTGTCAAATGTATCTGCTCTTTTTTAACTTTGAAAATGACAGCTTTCTGATCAAAGAAAACATTCGTTTTCTTTCCATCCTGAGGAATAGTACAGTACTGGTTCTCTTCCAAATAACACATCTCATGTCTTGTTGCTTTGCTCTTTCCTTAAGACATACAACTTACCATAGCGAGCTTTTCAATTAGGGCCAGATCCAAAACTTATAACTGCTGTTGGGAAAACAGAACAAAACAAAACAAAAACCAAAACCAAGCCATTGCCTTCAGGCTCTTTGAAGCAGTTTTATGTGCAGTTATTCACACAGTGATCACACTTGCGTGACAAGGCTACATTGTAGGGACAATATATACAATACAGCATTTCCTTAGGATATTAATAGTCGTTTTGGATATTGGGAAAGCTACCTTTTCTTCTCCTTTTTCTTCATGTCAGTTCTGGCGATCAACTGTAAAATGTGACAGTGATTAGACATGGCAGCTTTTTTCTGTACCAGTATTTTGATGCACCAAAACTTACTCGCTCTTTTTTTCTTTTATGTTTCTCTCTGTCTGTTTGGTTGGGGTTTTTTTGTTTGGTTTTTTTTTTTTTGTTTGGTTTTTTTTTTTGTAATCTAAGACAAAGATTTATGGCATCTTTGGGAATTAGCTGTGTGATCCACTTTCCTGACAGGTGCAGAGGGAGAATTTCTGGCCTCTTTCATGTCTGTCTTTTCAGCTTTTGCCACAATGTGGTAACTGAAAGAACCCTTCTTACCATCACACTGTCGTGTTAACAGTGTAAGTGGAAAATAGTAAGAGAGAGACTTTAGTTTTCCACAGAATGTGCCAGCACCACCCTAATGTGGCCACTTGTTCATCCAGCTGGGACTTCAAAAGTGTGAGTCCAAACGGCCAAAGTGAAGTCTCTAACCACACAACACCCCTCATTGCTGGCCGATGGGGACAGTGTGAATACCCAGAAGGCAACCATAGCTCTTCTAGGCGTTATGAAATAAAAGGGGGGGAAAGAGCAAGTAATGCCTCCGATGGAAGAGAGGAAACCTTCCAAGGGGCACAGACGGCAGCTTTTCGACAGGTTCCAGGAATGCTGGATGCAGCCGGTGTGCTCAGGGTGTGCCTGTTCACAAGCACAGGGATTAAACTACTGGACACTCGTCGCCAGGTCCGATCCTTCCTGAGCTGCGCATTAGCGGAAAGTTGGGCTTCCTGTTGCTCCCGCCTGCGGTCCGGGAGCGGATCACACCGACTCCGCGATCCCTGGCTGAGCCTGTGCCTCGCAGCCGCTCGTCTGCGCATGAGTCGCCGCGGGAGGCTCCGCGGCTGGAGTATTTCAGGGGCTGGGCACCGGGGGAAGATGCTCAGTGCCTGACGGAGGCCGTGCGCCCGGCGGGACGCGGGGGGAG